CCTCTTTTCGTTCCTCTTCTAAAGTCTTCCAGTTTTTGAGGTTAACACTGGGAATGGATTTTTTCATATGAAACGAAATGTTTGCTGAAAAGGGCAGAAATTTATGTTCGCTTACATATTTATCGACATGATTTAATGGAAAATTATTTCGATTTTTTGCCAATTAGAACCTTTCTCAAGTCTATTTTCATTTGACCAATTTCCATGGGAATATTGTTCTTTCTGCCATTCAATTATCGTTTCTATTTTCATTATCAAGTTGAACTTTTCCTTTGACCTTTTTCACAGTTGCACAGGGACACTCTCAATGTTTCATTCAAATTGTTTTATTCTTGTTACTCTATGCTAATGAGAAGCAAAATTTTCCGTTTTATTATTTATAGCACTTTGAATTAGTTTCCAACACTTTCAATTAATTGCTTTGTAATCATGACATTAATGAAGAGGGAATCAAGTTGTTCAATTTAAATTTTTGTAATTTAATTAACTCCAACTCAATCTAGAAATCAAATCAACGGTACAACAAAAATGGACAAAAAATGGATGCAACGAATCGCTTAAGAGCAAAGTTCAAATATGAAATTGAAACACAAATCGTACTAAAATCGAAGAGTGAATAAGGAAATATCGAAGTTACACTTTCCTTGGAAATGCAATCGACTAACCTAATTGGATCAGCATCAATAAGCAAATACAAGGTAAAAAGAAGGTGTTAAAGATTAAGAAACACCTTTTAATGTATTCATTAATTTGCTTGTTTCAATGTTAACCCACAAAAGTGACCACAAAATTACATGAAAGCAACATTTGAAGTAATATTGAAATGAAAGTAATAGATGAAAATTGACTATGAAGCATGTTAATGGGAATAGCAAGGGACGTAAATTTATCTTTTTTTATGGAAATGCTATATTAATAATTATTGCAAATATTATATTTGGCAGAAGAGAAGAAAAAGGTTGATATTAATCAAAGCAAGTAATGGCAGGTGAATGTGAATAGAGTAAAAGGTATTGAGGCAAGGTATTTGTAATGCCATTGATTTGATTAGTTGAAATAAAATGTATTTAATTAGCCATAATGTAATTACTTGATAAAACAGAGTTAACATTATAAAAAGGAAAGTGAAAAGAGGAACAAAATATAAATAGTATTTTGTTTATTATTCAATATTGGAACGTGATTTACTTGTTGTTGTTGTTTTATCATGTTTTCTGATTCACATAACAACATTGATAAACATCATGTTAATATTATAATGATAATGGTCATCAGTGAGACATGGACAATGATCATGATATGGATCAGCGAATCATTTCTCTCTTTTTTTCTGACATTTTCTTCAATCATTTTGTTCCACAGGTTAAAGTGTTGCAAGTTGGTACAAATTTATCTTTTCTCTTCATTCGAATACTTTTGTTCGTTCACTTTACGTTTCACTTCAACTATCAGAGTCTATAAAAGTGTCCCAACGAATTATGTTAATCAAACTAATTATAGATGATGATAATAATAGATTCAATTAGCTTTTATCTCGATTGTTAGCTGATATGCTTAGAACTTTATCATTGAATTTTCGCTGTGCTTTTTGCTATTGAAATATTTTCATTCCTTTACTTGTGCTGTATCAGATTATTCTTGTTTTGGTAAAGAATAAAAAAACTGTTGAAACATCTTTGGTTTCATGATAAATTTTTGTTAATAACACAAAGTTACAATCACTTCCAATATGACGAAAAAATATTAAAAAGTTGAAATTTAAATTGAAATCACTATGGAAAGGTTAATGATTGATCTTGACGAAAATAAATTCGCTAATTAGAGCAGTTCACAATATAGACTTACAGTCAAGAATCTTTACACAACGGTTTTTAAGTTTAACACACTTTCTAAGATAACATTGCTGAATTGCACACCGTTTCTAAATTTGCTACTCATTCCTCAAGTATGGTTGATGTTAGAGATTTGAAAATTGGACAGAGACATTAAGTTTTACTGGTTTGATCTCTGGATGACATGAAATGGTCATTTTCTGATTTTTTTTACATTTAATTTTGTTTGTTATGAAGTGCTAAAAGATTTATGAGTATCTCTGGTTCTTCTGGGACTGCCTATTCTGACTGAAAAATGCTAAAATGCTATTGATTTTCAAAAATGTAAAAATATTGCTTCGTAAATGACATGCTGAACCTATCATTAAAACTGATAATGCAAATGAATTATTATCCAAGCGAAGCAAAGCGTTTATTTTTACTTAGCTTGGAGGTTTGAAAGGTCACTTTTTTGGGTTCGTGTTGGCACGTTTGAGAAAAAAAGAGGCGGGATGAGCTCAAACTTGGATTAAGCAAATCTTGACCTCATCTGATTTTTATGGTCATCGGAATTTATTTTTCGCGAAACCGACCTTTGAAATTTAGAGGCCATTTGAAGGTCGTTCGAAATTTGTCAATGTCTACTTGTCCCTCTTAAAAGGGTTCATCATTACATAACAGTTATCGAAATATGGCTCAAAGACGAAATAGAAATGTTTCTAATGTTTCTAAAAATAAAAATCTAATACAAGACTAAATAAAATTGTCTCGATAATATTTGAATACTTTCCCTTGAATCACCTTACAAATTGAATATCTCCAGTGACATTTTTCCCCACAATTTTATCTGTTTGTCAAAACCTGAGTTTACTTGTCCTTTATTGTCTTGCGATTGGATAAATTGAAATATAAAATATTGAAAGGGAAGAAAATGAAAGAGCAAAAAAGTTCGCATCAAACTCATCTTATTTCGTGTCAAAAAGTAAAAATGATTTAATCAACTAAATCATAAACATCGAAATGTAACAATTGTTTAACTGACAAGCGTTCACCCAATAGAGTAAAGCAAATCAATGTTATTTTCATAAAAATGTCAACCAAAATTCAACTATTTTTACACTTTTAATGTTTTAATAAAATAACTGAATTTGATTATTCGAGTCGAAAAAAAATGTTGATTGATCAAGGATTTTCATTCACCATTTACCTATTTATTTATTGATTAAGGTTAACCTTTTTTTCATCTAATAACGATATCGAGTCAAAAATAAGTTGATAACTATAAGCATTTAATGACAGAATGTTAAATAAATAAAACGTAAAAAGCAACTTTCACAATAAACTCGCTTCTAAGTACAATAATATTCAATTAGCCTAATATCATTTCACTTAAGACGATTAAATGTTTCAAATTCAACTTTAATCTCTATCGTCTTTGCTCATCTCTTCATTAATTATGCATTGATGTGTTGATTATGTATTTAAAATGATCAAAAATGTTCGAATCGATGATTGGAGGAAAAGCAGCGAATCTGAGTCCACGACAGACGAATTTCGAAGGAAAATTTGTTCGAAATTACTCATTTAGACTTTACAATCAAAGCTGAATGGTAAAAATCTAACCTGTAATTAATTGTCAAGAGTTTTGCGATTTGAATAACGAAATAGAAAAGCAATTAACAAGTTAAAAGTAAATCAATTACAAAATGACAAATCTTGTAATTCTGATTCTTTTTTCACCTTTGCTAATTAAGATTTCAAAGGCATTTCAACTGTTAATTTGCTTAATTTACAGGTGAATCTGAGTTGCAAGGTGTGATGTCAATAATTTGAATAAAAGGTTGAAACATAAATTGGAAATTTTTTCATTTTTTGTAAAGAAATCAAATTTCGATTTTTTCTTCTTTTTTGTCGAAATAAATTTTTCGATTTTTAATGATTTCTAGAATCCAATTTCAAATGCATGGTAATTTTGTGATACTGAAACACATGAAAATAATACATTTGATTGATAATTATTCGTGCATCTCGATTTCAATCTAGTTTTTATCAACAGAACTCAATAGGAAATGTAGAAATAGAATATCATTTTCATCTTTTCCCAATGAATCTGTTCTTTTCCATTGGAATATTAAAGATTCATTGGATTATCTTTTCTCATTTTGCCCTTTCCATCATAAAACTATTTCACTTGATGTCATTAAGTCTATATGAATATGAATGTTTCACTATTTACCATTCAAAGTTATTATTAAATTTTATTTCTTTTTTTCCTACGAAAATCATAAGAATATCAGGTGAGAGAGTTTATTCAAAGTAAATCAAATTGTTTTCAATAGTTGAATATGTCCTGAGGTTACTCCGAGCTAAATGTTCCTTTCTTATCAAGAAAAAAGTAGTTTATGATATTTTATTCGTGATGAAATTGTAAGACTTTATCATGTAAATGGATAAACAATTTCCACTGAATAACAGATCTGTTTGCTCAAAATTTCAATATAAAGTTCAAGATAAATCAGATTTGTATATTTTCATGGAAATTATTCAAGTTTCTTTGAGGTCAAAGGTACGAAAGCAAGTAAAGGCGATGAAAATCTCGAAAAAGTCGAAGTTGAGTTTTCGAAATTCTTTCAAAATCGAAATATGGATTTTTGTGAAACGAAAAGAACTGAAAAATCTCGAAACGAAATCGATCGTTCGATACACTGGTGATGGTTAGTCGATCTTTGAAGTGGGCTTCATGAGATTTTTGGATTCTATTGTAGTTATTTTTAATATAATCTTACAATCTTTTGTTAGAACTGAAAGGATTTCGAGTCTTGTCGAGTTGAAAGTTGTTGACTTCACAGTCAAACAGCTTGATTCTTAATAAGAATGTTTTCTCTTGCAGAATCTGTACAGATAAAAGAATCATTTCCATGAAAGAAAAGCAAATTGTGTTCGAAAACAGTTTATTTGAAAGCAACATGAAAATTAACTTTCAATATTTAAATGTATTCCAAAGCATTGTCAATATCAACATTTTTCCGTCTCGATTGAAATTCATCCTCTCAGTCATGGAAATCTAGACTTAAATTTGAATGGAAAATCTTTCCATTCTCTTTGATTCGAATTGTAACTTTAAATTGTAAATTTTGTTGGGCCGATGAGAAACAATTTGCTGATGAAACGAAAGAATTGAAAACTTACCAAAAGATTGAATAAAGTAATTTTTAACACATTAAGATCCATGATTGAGTTTTGTGATATAACGATATTGATGATGAGATGAATGTAAAAAACAAATAAACCAGTTGATTAAGATTGCATTAAATTGCGGTGACTCTGTGATTTCAAAGTTTCCAGGTAAGTTGGATGAAGAAAATTTTGTGCGAATGTGGAATAAAAATTGCTTCCAAACAGATTTTCATCTAATTACGATTAAAGATGAAGGTGAACTTGATTGTGCTTTGGTGGATCCAAATGTGAAACACAAACAAACAAAAGAAAATATTTGAAATGAAATGGAAATTGTCAAGTTAAGAACATTGGAATTGAATCAATTTGATGAAAGTCGATTAATGATTAATTTCAAGATTAACGAGTTTACACTTTGATGTGATTCATGTTTGCTTTTCTTGTACAATCAACCTTTACAGTTGGTGTGAATGTCGATGTGGTTACACTTTGTTTTCATGATAACTGATTATTTAAATGATTCAGTTTATTTTATGGAGCAGCGAAAAGAAGCAAAGAAAAGGTTTTTGTTTCCTCAGATTCTCAGCGTAGTTTCAGTGTTTTGCAAAGATGAAACTTTTCTCTGTAAACAACTTTACCTGTTTGTCAAAAAAAGCAAATGAATTGAGCTCTTGATCAACAGAAGAAAAATATCTTCGTCAAATTGAGATGAGAAGAGGTTAACTCTTAAAGGTTACTCACTCAGGTTACTCACTGAACTTGCAGTAAACTGATTCAGCTCAGTTGGATTCAGAGTTTTCCTTTTGCCTTGGCTGTTACATGGACAATGCATGATGAAACTGAATCAGAATGGCGCTTTTGGAGAAGAAAAGGTAAAAAAGAAAAAGGTAATTTCGGAATTTTGTTACAAGAGAAAGTGGGTTGGAATTTGGTTGAGCCGAAGTTGACTCTTGATCGGTACGGTTAGTTACGGTAATTAAATGTGTTTGGCAGAGAAGTTTTGAATTACTTTTTTCTCTGTTGATCATTTTGTTGCATGTTGAGGAGATGAAGGAGGAGCTCGAACATCGTAAAGTGAGGTCTTGAAAAGAAAAGGTCGTTTAGCGAAACGCAAATTAGAGCAGCAACAATGGGTACAAAGGTAATGAGATGATGCTTGCTGTTGATCAAGAGGTTGGAATCTTTGAAATCAGAAAAGAATCCCTTTTTTGCACATTATTTACTATTCATTTGTGCATTTCAATTTTAGATTCCAAGTCGACCCAACTCATTCCAACCCACTTTTTCCTCTTAAAACTTTCTATTTTCTTCTCCACTCTTTAGTCTCTTCCTTGTCATCATCCGCATCTTTACTCATCACTTTATCCTTACTTTTTCCTTCTTTCAAAGTTGAACGTCAACGGGATCTTTGTCGAGTTGAGGTACATCTTGTTGTTAATATGAAATTAAATCAAACTCTTTTAACTTCTTTTCGTTGCAACCTTTTCACTCTCTTTTGGCGGCAATTAGATTCGTCTCGATTTAAAACGATTCAACTAATTTGTAAGTTTTGATCATTTTTTTCTCCAGAAAATCGAAAAAATTTAACAATTCTAAAAGTGATTTTCATCTTTTCATCTAGTTTTAACTCTAACAACCGTTTTACATCAAATAATGAGCAAACCTTTAAATTATGCGACTTCATCATCACACCATCGCTCTTTATCGTCCATCTCATCTCATTCACCACATCGCATCAGTCCATGTAATCTTCCCTTCTACTTCATTCCATCAAAAACATCTGCACCTGAACCTTATGAAAAGGTTTACAGACGGGCCAAGGCGATGAAGGGTTGCACTGAAAGAATCAGACGGAACTTTGTAAGTAGTTAAAGTCAATTTGAACATTTTAATTGAGTGAGTTGGAAGATTTTTAGTGTTTGTTCATTCGGACTCATCATTTTTGGACAACTTTAAAACTCAATTAATGTTGAAGTGTCAGTTTGAGTGAAATTATTGTTAATAGAGTTTTTCATTTTCCTTTTTTCATCCAATTTTGGTTTCTTCTTTGAAAGGTGCAAATCAAGTTTAATTGGATTCACTAGTTAACCAGTGAATAATTAAGATACAACCTGATTGCATTTCAATAAACTGTCAACCAACATTTTGCAAGCATTTAAAGGTCATTGGCCATCAGCCATTAGAGTCTGGTTTTCATTGAAAATCCAGTGTCGATTGAAGGATTACGTTAAAACCATTGATGAGCAAAAAGAAGAGGGAACTTTAATTCAATTTAATTTTGTTGAATCCTTTCATGATTAAATTTTTGAGAACAATTTTAATTAACAAATTCTCAATTTAATCCGTTCTCATGTCCGTATGCTCTTATTAGCATTATCATTTAGTCAACTCGATTGACTTTTCCAACTATTACTGTAAAGGTCAATTTTTATAGACTGTCTTGTCAGACACATCTTGTCAATTGTCGATCCTCTTTTCAGGTTAAAATATTGATTTAAATTGAAGTAATTTATTGTTGTCGGTTCTGATAAATTGAAACTAATGGTTAAGTAACTTTGACAAATGTCTTGCAAACATATTTCAATTTCATAATTTTAACCAGGAACTTCGTTCTCCTCATGAACCAATCTGTCTGCATAAGATTTTAAAATTAAACTAAAAATGTCAATCGATGGCATTTGAAACTGGAAATAGCTTATTCTTTGTCGTTTATTGATTAAAGGTCGATCTAGACTCAATTCAAAAGCATTCTCTTGAATCGTCAAAAGATAACTTTTTTCATTGTGCACAGCATGATGTGTTGAAACAGATTGAATAAATTCAATGAAGTAAGAAGACACAACACAATACACAGACTGTATTGGGAAAAGCCTTTTGTTTGCCGTTTCTGTTCAAAAACTTACAAGTTGTTAGTCTTTTGATTTGTAAAACTATTATGAGCCTATCGGCCAGTTAGGACATCTGACCAATATCAAACTGAACGGTGGAAGTTGAAGTGTCGATTCCGTCCATTTCCATTCCTTTTCATACTTTAAATGGTTGGGAAAGACTTCGAACTTGAAGCTTTTTTATTGTAGAATGATCGCGATAATCACGTGAAATTTGTCAAATTTTTGCTCATAATTCGAATTTGATAGATTCTGATGAAATTTTCATTTATTTATTGGTGAATGTCGATTCATGCGGTTGAATAGGAACAAAACTGGTTGACGAATTGGCAGAAACAATTGAAAAGTCGCTTATTTGAGACTCTTTGGATGGTCCAAAGATCTTGATCATTTAATTTGTCTAATAACTTTAATTTAATCGATTAAGGCAACATGTTCGTGTTCAAGCAATCACTCTTATGTTGAGAAGATTGCAGCTCAATTGATCAATGTACAATTGTTGAGCAATTTACATGATTAATCTTGTTTTTGATTAAATCATGCATCGATTGTTGCTTCCTAAACTTGATCAGAATAATAATTTTGACGAGTTAATCATGTAAGTTGCTTGAGTGACCAATAGTAAACTGATTTCCAGATGGAAAAAATTCTTACTAACATTTCATTATTAATAAAGTAAACCTTGAAATTATACGATACATGGTTTATGCGAAACCAGGTTAACATTAAGCTTTAATTTCGGTTCGAATGATTGCTCAAGTAAATTGTTTTAGTTAATTCCTGGTCAACTTTTCATGAAAAATTGATCAACAAGTGAATCTACAACGAAACATCGATGTTCAAAAGACACTGGAAAAGACTGATTGATAGAAATGAACTTTTCTCTTCAAATTTCTTTTTATTTCTTTTCTAATTAGGTTCAGATGCTTGCTGATGAAGATTTCGAGTCTGGTTTGGACAGTTTAAGGCACGGTTGGCTTCCAGAAATAAGTAGCTCAGTTAATGACATAATTGAGGTGAGTTGAACGATATGAAGGTAAAATCATAATTTCTAGACCAATTAGATTCTAGAAGAATAAAATCGAATTTTTTGTAATGTTCTTTTAACATTCTGAAATTGATTGTTGCAGGAAGGAGACGCATTCCGTCGGAGTTTTCAATATTTACAGTATTTTGCTATTGGATTGGAACAGTTGCTTTTGGATCAGATTCTTCATGAAGGCCGAATGATAAAGGAATTTCGAGAAATCGAAGATAAACTAAGTCAATTGTTGTGTGAAATTCAACTCGGAATGTGGTATCGAAACATTAAACCCGATAAACACATTGAATTTGAAGTAATGACTCAAGAGTATCGTGATATTGCTGATGCTTCAAGACGAATGATCAGAGATTACCTTTTACTGAGAGATCTTGTTAAACTGACTGATTATATAACACAGATTTTTGCAAATCTTGCCTCACATTATTGACTTTTGTCAACAACCTTGTACCTAACTCTTAGTGTAACAAAATTGCTCTCATAAAGTAATTTATTTTTAGTCAATTATTGATTGTTTCATTATTTCTAATCAATTTTGCCATTTATATTTGTTTTATTGGTTTCATCCGATTAGCAAAATAGAAACAAAATATCATTAATTTACTCTTTCACTTTAATCACTATTTATATCAACTGTAGCTTCAGCTAAATCACAATTGTGACTTAATCCATGATTGGTTTTGCATTTAAATGGTAAAGTTGGTCAAATAAAAGGAATCAATTCCCTTCAAATTAAAGCAACTAAAGATGATTATGAACAAAAAAACAGATTTTATTAACAATTTATCAATAAATAGTTTTTCAATTATGTTTTCTTTTCAAACTTTTTTTGTTTAATTATTTTGTTACATTTAAATATGAGTTTAGTGAAATTGTTTTTTTTTGTTTGCCGTTTTAAATAATAGCATTGGAAGTGGAGATATTATAATCTCTTACTAAGTGATTACAGAATTTATTTTTTTACAAATCGTAGAAAAAGATGGGATTTTTAAATATACAATATAAATACACAGACTTGTACTGAAATCTCTCTGGTCAACAGATTGTTGTATTATAATGGGATAAAGGTCCATTGACCAAGCCTCCATTGGAGGTTTGATTCAATTTGCGATCCTTATCGTGATCAGGAGATAAGGTTACTTCATTATCACCGGAGACTCGCACTACAACACCAACACCACCTCCGACACCGATTCCTCCCCCTCCCCCACCGCCCTTACCATTTTCTCCGATATTTTTCTTATTCACTTTAAGCACATCGTTAATGTTTCCATTGGAGATGTTTTTATCAGCTTGGTTTATCACGATTGGTTTGGGTGTTGTTGTTGTAGTAGTTGTTGATTCACTATCATCAACACCCGATTCCTCCAACACCACTATCCCTGAGTTTAAGGTGTCAATGTTGGTTGGGAAAAATTTAACCTCTTCACCATTATCGGTCTCTTCAATTTCAATTTCATGTTCGGAACACTCCAGCTCATCATCTTCATTGTATTTACAGGCTGTTGAGCTTTTTAATGGCGTTGTACATGTTATCTCCTGTCTTATGCGAGATTTTAATTTGGTTTTGGCTTTTGCTTTAGCGTAAAAACTGACTTTCATGAATTTCTCTGAGTCAAACAGGGGCAACAAGTTATCTATTATTTCAAAGAAAGTTGGTCTTTGCTTTGGATTTCTCATCCAACATGCAGACATGAGTTCAAATCTGTGAAAGAAGAGAAAGTGAAAACAGATTAAATTAGATGGAAAGCTAGAAAAAGACAAACCAATTGGAAATGATTAAACACAAACTTACAATTTATCTGGACAGCCTTTAGGCTTCTCGATTGTACCTCCTTCTGTTATGAATTTAATTACTTCCATATTGCCAAGACCTTGATAAGGTTGTGCACCAAGAGTGGCCATTTCGTAAAGGACTATACCGTAGGACCAGACGTCTGAAGTGTAATTAAAAATACCATCTCGAATGGATTCTGGTGACATCCATCGAATAGGTAAAAGACCTTGACCATCTTTACGATAATAATCAGTCTCATAAATATCTCTGGTCATCCCAAAATCACCAATTTTTACAGTTAAATCATGAGCAACCATAATATTACGAGCTGCTAAATCTCGATGAACAAATTTTCGAGATCCAAGGTAAGCCATGCCATCAGCGATTTCTACTGACATCCTCCAAATTTCAGTGAGAGAGGGTGGATTGGTTGGTAATCCATCCTAATAAATAATAAAATAACAAATTAACAATGAAGCAAATAAATTAATCAGATGAAAAAGTTAAGTATAATATAGGGACCAATTTTTGATCCACTGATTTACAAGGGATATAAAAATTGAAACACAAACCTCATTATCTGGACGTTGTTTCAATAAATAATTACGAAGATCACCATTTGGCATTAACTCCATAATAACCCAAGGTGGTTGACTAGTTGATACAACTCCGAGTAATTTAACGACATGTTGACAGTCGAAAGTCCTGTTTTGAAGATAATATTAAACATTAATTGATATTCATAATTTAAACTTTAAATGTTATTGGAAGTAAAAAAATATTAAACATAACATACTTCATAACTTGAGCCTCATTGAGAAATGCTTTTGTCAATGCTGGATCAGTTACAGTTTTAACTGCCACTTTTAGTGATGGTTCATCAGGATCTTTACTTTTCATTTCACCTAAGTGAACCATTCCAAAAGATCCTTGACCGAGATCCCCGAGAAGACTTATATCTTCTCGACATACCTCCCATTCATCGGGTTGATGAGTAATATATTCTGGGTTAATAGAGGCGAAAATCATTCGACCTGGTTGACCTGATATTTTACGACGAATGAAAATTCCAACGGAAATGATTGCTGTGAAAAGCATGAACAAAACAAGACCCAGAACGAGGAAGATAAAAAAATAGGTATCACCTGCAGGGAAAAATAACACAAGAAAACATAAATTAGTAAACAATTTTAAAAATAGGTTAATGTATTCAAAGAGGGAAATGGATAACAAAACTTACTTGGAACCTCAAACTCATAGTATCGGGTAAAGTTTCCTCTACCCGCTCTTGTCATGGCTCGTACTCTTAACACGTAACTTTTTCCACTGATTAAATTGCCAATCCTGATAATTCCTTTGCTTTCTTGATATTCCTTTCTAGTTATACATCGTGTAACACTATCACTCTAAGGTTTAGATAAAAAAGGCATGAAAAGAAAAATTTAATTAATAAACGAAGGTAAAAATACGATAACTAATTTGAAAAGAAAAATGTTGATCATGTATTTGATTATTAATTACCATAGATGCTTCATTAGGTTTGTACTCTAAATGATAAGAGAGGATTTCTCCGTTAGGAAAAGAAGGTTCGTCCCATTTAATGAAGGCAACACGAGAATTATTTGCATTAGAAACTTCAACTGTCAGAGATTGAGGATCGATTTCATCCGCATTAGCTGGAGATAGAAAATTTGAAAAGAGAAAAAAATAAATAGTTAAATGAATTGTTTGTGTTATCAATTAATAAACAATAATATTACCTTTTGCTAAAGTGCGTTGTGAAATGTATCTCGCCTCTCCACACAATTTATATTCGGGTTCTTTGTTGCTCGGTGTGTTTTGAGTATGGCAAGCACTGACCGCAATCTTGTAATCAGTATAATGTGTAAGATTTTGAATGAGTAATGATAATGATGTTGCTATATAATTTCTTATTTCAGGTACATCAACTTGAGGTTTCAATGTTGTCGAAGGACCCGTTATATTATTATCAGCAGTTGTTGGATCGATTTTAGGAGAACGCTTTTTACGCTTTTCTGGTTTGCTCATTGTTTCGTGAGTTAAATTATATTTTTTATACGCATTATTGATAAGATAGTCTTCAAAATCGACTGTGTTTTTAACTTGGTCCTCATATTCAACAAGAGATCGTTGACAAGGACAACAATCAGTATTGTTTTTTGTAGCCTCACTTTCATCATCTTTCATCTCCTTCTCAGCATCTTGGAGCCATCTTGACACATTGATCCTCTCTTCTGGAATAATAGGAGTTTCGTAATTGAGCGCTGTAAAAAGATAAAAAAATACTCAATTAATGCATGCATAAGTATAAGGGAAAAGAAAGTAGATAATATCGAATAAAGTAGATTTGTAAACTTAAGATGCCGCAAAAACAAGTAATAAGTAAACTATAAAAATTGTATGATTCTAATAAAAATGTATTTACGTTCAGAGCAGAAGTCACGATCAGAATATGCCTCAGACAGCGGAAGTATTTTAGTAACAGTTATCATATAGTGTGTAACAATTCCATTAGGCTCTTTCGGTGGGGACCAGTGGACTATAATTTCTGAGGAACTTGACACAGTTGCTCCAAGATCTCTTGGTTCACTAGGAGCTGTTAAAGGTAAACAAAAGGGAAACAAATGTTATTTGAGAGATGAAATTAATAATCAAAAATAGCAAATATTAGATAAAGATAGTAAATAATTACTTGTTGGTTTTGTTTGAAAATAAACAATTGAACTTTCTCCTGCTCTGCCTTCAGCACTAGGCGTTCGGATAGTATAAGTCTTAACATAAGTCGCATAACGAGTAAAAGGTTCAAGTTTAGTTAACAAATATTCAACTGTTGTATCTCGCTGCCTGTCTTCATCTGCTTCTACTTCAAGCGAATTCCAGCCATTTGAATAACAGGCATCGCGACCACCATAAACAGATACCGTCGTATTACCCGGCCTGATAAGATTTTTAAACAGTTAAAAAAATTGGTTATTAATTGAAATAATTTAAAAAATAGGAAAGAAATAGATAAAAGATAAACAGAAATAAATGCAAACACTTACGCTTCTCTATAATAAACTAGATACCCCAACAGAGATCTCGCATCGGTGAGATTTTTAAGAAAATTAGGCCATTGCAAGTATGCATATGTTGGTCCAGAGGAAGCAATAGTGAGATTAAGTTTGATCAATTCACAAGCAGTCTTATCTCCGTTTGAATATGGTGAGATATCTTTATCATCTTCGATCGCAATTTTTCGATGTATCTGTTTGATTTTCGTCGTACAAAGTTTCGGGTTAATGTGGAAAAATATTTTTCCGTGCATAATGTACACCTTAGAAGTTCCATTATCATTAAGAGGAAAGAGTTCTTGAAGATTAGGATTATCAATAACCACCAATGAGTAACTGAAAGATGATACAATAAAAAACAGATTAACATGAATTTGAATGATAAAAATGTGTAAAGTATGAATGGAAATGAAAACAGATTACAAAATTTTAGTAAACCCATTGACTGTGAAGAAAAAAAAGTAAACAAAAGATGGTAATTACTTTGTTCGATCTAAAATATTTCCTTCGATGGTTTCAAGGTCTTTGAAAAAATTCAAGGTAATGAGAGGATATGATCGCGCAATTTTAAGGTAACCAGTGATAGTACGAACTTGTTGTAAACTTTCCTCAAGCTCAGTAATAATATTTACTAGAGATAAGATGATGAAGGAGAAAAGGGGAAAGAAAGAAAATATTAGAATGAGAAAATCACAAAGAGAACATTACGTTAAAGATATGAAAGGGTTGTTTTTCAAATTGATGTTTCTTTATGTTAGAAATTCTGATTAAATTACCTCCTCCTTGAACAGATATATCAAGATAACCGTCGATAACTGTACATCCGCGAAAATTTTGAGCAGCAGCAACATTGGTTATAGTACTATTCCCTTTACAGGCTAATAAAAAGAGAAAATTGAAAAGGAAAAAGCGGAAATAGCGAGATAATTAATTGTGAAATAGTAAACAATATTAAGTAAGTATTGTTAAAAAATTGAAAAATTTTCCACAGTCAACTTACTTATCTTGCAAGATCCTTGACATCGATCACATTTGTGCTCATCTTCGGGACTTTGTTGATAACCCGGTGGACATTCAGCTAAACATTTCTGCAGCGTATTGTTCCGTGATTCAAAAATCTTGTATGTTTTTTTCTTGTCTTTATCATCTGATGCGCTTAATGCAATACAATCTTGGAAGCTTACACATCGACGAGAGAGAAACTGGAATAACAGGAGAAAGAGAGTAAAGCAAAACAAGAGAAACATGAGTATGTAATTATTAGTAGATTAAACATATAAATAAATAATAGTCACAATAACAAGGTTGACTAACAGACTCTTATTTACAAATACGACAAAACAGACACTAATAAACATTTACTATACCTCATATTGATTAGGACCACAACGTTTAACACAGATCTTTTCATGCCCTTCATATTTTACAAAGTTTTTACAAATGAGACAATCTTTATTGGTTTTTCCTGTACATCCACCAATACATGATGGATCACAGCATTCCTTTGGATTGTTGATATTGCATGTGAGATTTTGTGATTCACATTCGTTGGAACATACTGTATGAAATGAAGAGAAAATGATTAGAATGCAAAAGAGTCTAAAGCATTGCCTAAAATCTTGAAATGTTGATACATACTTCTTTGGCAATTTTCTGAGTTCCAGCACAAACCATGGTGAGTCTCTTTAGCACCACTTTTCAAAATCGGACAAGCTGGAATAGCACCATTTTTATAGCATTTTGGACATTCGTTGAAAGGTTTGTTATCCTGAGAAATGAACAAAAAAACATGAGAAAAATTGGTAAACAACAAAATTTTATAGAAAGAGCCGGAAACATTAACAGGAAAATGATCAGTAAAAATGACTAAGAGACAAAGAGAGACAAATGAAAGGCTTTGAAAGGAATGGATAAGAAATAAACAACAAACCTTAACATGATTGGACCCTTTACCAGATTTGGGCAATAAGATCCCAATTAACAGTTTCCGCAAAACATAGATGACGATTCTTTTCAATGCGGACTGCTCCTTTAACGATAGTTGTTAGATTGGACAAACCAATTTCTTGAAGATCAGTAACATCATAGATTATGAGAGCAAAGTTATGAAACAAATGTTGACCCCTAATTACAGTTAGGTTAGGAAATAATTTGGCGAGGGTAATGATGCCCGAGACACGAAAAATTAAAACATAATCGGTAACCTCCGTCAACAGAGGGAAACTTATGTTTTCAAAGTGTCTCGAGGTTCCATTATAAATGGTTGATATCTGAAGAGAACCTTCAATAACTGTACAGTTTTCCAATTGTTTTAATTCGGATACATCACGGATATCAAGCGATCCACAGGTTTTCTCCTTGATGGCCCCGGAGGCTTGGGAAATGATTAGCCAAAAGAAAATGAGATGATAAACAAGATACCAATGGCAATGATGATGATGTTGTTGAGTTTGATTATTACAATGTTTTGTTTCCATTAAAAGTTGGTTCTTAAATTACGGTCCTTGGTTGGATTTTATTTTTGATTGATACATCATTAATTTCTGGTTTGAGGTTAGTTAGCAAACTCACAAATATTTGAGATTAAAGCCACAATAGAATTAAGCTATTCAAAGCTGTGATTTATTTAATAAACAATTCAAATTAATGTTTTTGCTAGCATCAATTTTGAAAACAACATGTAGTTAAGACTTTGTCCTGAAGAGGACGCATAAAAAATGGCGAGATTAAGTGTCGCCATCTGAAGTTGATGGAAATAAAGAAATTGTAAACAAGAATGAGAAATGCTAAAGAACAGGAAAACTATGGAAAATAATGTTGTATTAAATCAATTAAATTGCAATTAACCTTTCCTATTCGCATATTTAGTCATTTTTATCTAATTTCTCATCACTTGACGATTAATCAATTTAATATATGGGCATAGATTGACGTATTTTCATCAATTATTATTCACTCTCGGGGTATATGAAATAACTACAAGAACGGTAACAAATATTTCAATTCAAATGAGATAAAAATATCAGCATTTTCATCTAGTTGAAGATATCGAGCAAAGATTATGATTAATATCATTTTTATCAGATTATCTAAAGAGAGCCATCAAATAATCTCAAATAGCTTTCTTCAAAAAGGTTTTTGGATATGAAAAGCTCTTTGCAGTTACGTCGATCTACTATTTTTACATAAATAAAAGACGAGTTTGTTTCATTTTTGGTCGGGTTTAATTTTACAAGGCAGCTAAAATTGCAGCTAAAAATGATCAACATAATGGTGGTACAAGATGATGATGGATGTTGAAGGATGATTTGTACAGTTTTAAATGCACGCTTGATGCGATGATGAAAAATTTTCTGGAAATGCTTGTGTTACAAGCAACAAAAAGAAAAAAAATCATTGAATGATTAAAATTAATCATTAAGCAAAATTAGAATTGATTGGCTACATCTTTTATCGATGTAAAATGCTGGATGAAATTTCACAAAAGTGAAAGTTCACATTCCGCAACAAAAAAGTTAGGAATCTTAACTGATCGTTAAAATTGTTGACAAATTTAGCATGCAATTTGGTGTCAATGGTTATATTATAGTTTCGATGATATCAGATGTGTTTAAAAGTTGATGGTTATTAGTCGATAGACTGAGGTAAAAGGGAAAATAAGATTGTGAATACATAGTAGTCATCTTGAAATTGAATGAGATCAATTGGAACGAATGATTGAAAAAGAGTCACGATGAAGTTATAATCATGCAATGAGAACATTATTGTTGCTGGATAATGTTGAAGTTGATGGTAATGATGATGATGATGAAGGTGCTGCCGATGCCGCTTCCGCTGCTGCCGCTGCTTTAGCCTTAGCAGCTCTTGATGTTAATGTTAATAAAGATAATGGTGGCTCCGATTTTTTGACATTATTACGTAAAACTTGACGTTTATTACAGAACCAGACACGAACAACTTCACGGTCATATTTTAATTTGTCAGCCAATTCGGTCATTTCACTGCTAGAAGGGTGAGTATTTTTCTCAAAGAACGCATTCAACACCTCTAATGCTGATGGAGTAAAAGAGGTTCTTCTTTTTCTCTTTTTGCTGTTAGGATTTCCAGTGAAGGCGGCTGGATCAGTGCTTCCTGCTCTGCATCTTATTTCAAGATCATGCATCCATTTCTCTAGAACTGGCTTGATTTTTGAAGCGCTCTTCGGAGTGATATCAAGTTTTTCAAACCTAGAAAATAAGATAGAATGGTAAGTATTGATGGGAAAGTGAGGGACAGGTAATTAATAAAATTAACTGTCAACTTTGCAGTCAGCTAGCTCATAAATTACCTGCAAATTGCACTTTGGCTGTAAGATGGACCTGCAGTTGCTGATAAAGCTTGTCCAACTTGGGTTTGAGTCAACCCAAGACTTAATCTTCGTAATTTAAATTGACGCGCAAATTCTTTAACTTCTTCCAAATTGACCCCATCCACAACAGCTTCGTCACTATTATTAATTGTCTCTATGATATGAAAGAAAAAAATAAAAGTTAAGCGAATTGTAAATCAATAATCAAAAGAAAAAGTGTTTATAACACTCTGAAAATATGGTTCTTTCTGAATTTGGGGTCGATTGACTTACGAGCAACAGTGGCTTGATTTGACTCAGGTTCCATTGAGCTTGCTGTCGAAAGTGGTGGAGATGGTGTTTGAGATTCGGCTGAATTAGAAACTGGATTATTGGATTGGTTATTTAAAAACATAGTTTGTTGGGAAGGACAGTTGGCGTTGCCAGAATTGTTTCCATTATTCATTGCTAAAGGTTTTAAATCAGAATTACGGTTATAACAGTTTAATGAAGCTAAAGAAGATTGGTTGGAAAATCCATGATTTGAAGGACCCATTCGTCCAGAATTTTTTGTATTTGTTGATGCAGATGAGGATGATGCACCAGATGAAATTGACACTTGTATTGCTTGGTTCATTTGTCCGTCATTTGCTTGATTTGATGCTGATTTTTTCATCATACGACTATTACCGCCTCCTTCCCCATTATTATCATTTCTTGAGTAGAAACTACCCTTTGATTGACTCGCACGTTTACTTGGCCTTTCCCTTTCTGTAATCATAGACGGATGGTGAGAATGTTGTTGATGGTGATGGTGTTGTTGGTGTTGCTGCTGAAGCAATTGTTGTTGGTGCTGCTGCACTGAACTATTATCCATTTGATTATTGTTTATCGTCGACATTAACGGTTGGTCCGATATTATAGAGTTAGCGGGCACTATGGCGATTCCATTTGGAGTGACCACTTGGATAAAAGCAGACGATGATTGATGAGGTTGAAGAGAATTAATGGTTGCTTGTGATTGTTGCTGATTGAGATTGTTAATCAAAGATGGACTTATTGCAAATATTTGGCCAGATCCGTTGGTGACAAATTGTGTTGAGGGATTTGTAGGCAAAGATGTAGTCAGGCTTGTACCAATGAAATTACCAAATTGATATTGTTGAGGTTGTTGTTGTTGTTGAGACTGTTGTTGATTTGAAGTTGATGTTGTAGCTGAAGGTGTAGTAGAAGTGGTTGCTTGAGATAAACTAAAAGCTCCTTGTGAAGGTAAACCAGTGGAAATAAGTTGACCATTGGCCAATAGAAGAGGAACCATTGGACTCACAATTTGTTGGGATGGTTGAATAGTGGACAATAATTGGTTTCCAATTAGTTGATCATTGACAATTCCCGTTCCACCGTTACCTGTTCCGCCATTTCCCTGTAAAGGCAACATGATTGTAGTTGATGGTGTTGATGAAGAATATGAAGGTAAACCAGAAACATTTCGTGGAGACAAAACCAGAGAACCTCCTTGACTTGTGAGAAGAGTTGCTGTACCAGGTCCGAAGGCTTGGGTAGATATCAGCTGTGAGCCTGTAGAGGCAGCAGAAGCAGAAGCAGTAGAAGCAGTACAAGAGGAAGATGTTAAAGAAGAAGAAGAGGGTAAAACAGAGGAAGAAGAAGAAGATAAAGTTAATGATGATGATACAGATGTTGGACCAGATGATATTGATGAAGATCCTGTTGAAGTTGTTGATGATGAGGTGTAAATTGTTGAATTAATTGGTGAAGGTGAAAAGGTATCCACAATATTTGAAGACTGTTGTGTAATGTATGAACCAGGAGAGGTTTGAATGAAGGTTGTCATTGTAAAGTAATGTAATAATAATAATAATAATAATATATATAATAATAATAATAGCAATAATAATAATTATAATAATAATAGATACAATACAATACTCTAATAATAATAATAAAAGCACTAGTATAGTGAAGGCAGCAATAATAATAATGGTAATGGTAATGGCAATAGCAGTAAGAAGAGCATAATCATAATAAAGATGATAATAATAATGAAAGAACCAGGTTTAAGGTTGAATATAAATTATAATCCGGCAAAGGAAAATAAAATTAAAATAAATTATATCACCAAGACAATTATAATAATTATAAAATAATGTTAACCATGCTTTTAGGTTGCTTTAGTTACAGATTCACTGCAAATCAAATGGAAAGGTATTGAAAGTGAAGCAAATTCAAATCTAATGAGAACGAGATGAATCTTTCCAATGATTATCATTATTTTTTATTTATTTTTTTCCTCTCACTATTACTATTATTACTATTACTATTTTTAATAATATTATTATTACGGAACTATAATAATTACTAGTCTTGAAAAAATATTAAAGCAATTATTACTGCAATTGATTGGATAGCATACAATGAGCCAGTGAAAGCAAACAAACAGGCAAGAAACAAATAATAATGATTATAATAATAATAGTAAAGATGATAATGATAATAGCGATGATAATAATAATGATAATAATGATAATGATAATAATGTTAAAGATTGTTAATAATAATCGTAATAGCAATAATAATAATGGCAATAACAGTGAATGAGAGAGTAAATGAGAGGGAAAAGATGATTAGGATGATGATGAGGAAGATGAGACTGATGAAGAGATGGTAAAGGGATTCGTTTAGATTGGTTTAGTAACCAAAACTTGAATAACAAGGAAATTTTTTCTTTCGAACTTTTTTTTTTCGATTCTTTTTGGGTTTACAGATTGGGTTTAAAGGGTTGAGAGTCACTGATGTTAGGGAATCAACTTGGAGAAGACTTTTTTTCTCAGATTCTTGTGTTGAAAGCTGATGAAGGAAACTTGCCCATTCTCTGTTGAACGGTGAAATGAGGAAGAGAATCGCGCAGAAGATGAAGAGTGAGTTGAAGATGAAAAGGATGAGTGAAAGAGTTGAGATGAAAGTCTTTCTTTAAAGGTTGAGATGATAGAGAGTCTAAGTCAAGTTTGGATTAATTATCATAAAAATTATCATTGATTATCATCTATAGATGATGATAAACTTGAAAGGTTTAAAGTGAAGTTTGAAGAGGAAAAATATTGAGACTTTTATTTATTTTTCATTTTTTAACCAGAATCAAGTGTCTCTTGAAAATATTGGCCCAAAAATGGGAGGTTAGAGTTTCTTTTTTTCGCCTTCATTCCTCATTGTGAAAATAATATGTGAGGATGAAAAAGAGGAGGATGATGGGGAGGATGAGAATGATGATCAAATTATATACAACAACAACAATAACAACAGTGGTTACCCTACAATCTCAACTAATCACACACACAAAGTAATAAAGGGAAAGAAGGAAAAGTTTATTATTACGTTTATTTCTCGTTCTGTTGAAGTTCCCTTCAAAAATCTAAGGTAAAATTATCATCATTATCATTATTATTATCATTATTATGATTACAAGAAGAAAGTAAGAGAAGAAAAATAATAATAGGAAAAGCGAAATTTTTTCTTCTTCTTTTGTACCTTTTCTTGATCATCATTTTTTCAACTTACAGTCTTCAGTCTTCATCTTTGTTTTTTGTGTTATACTTTACTGTTTCTGCACAATCTGTAATGAAAGTGATGTTGGAAAAGCAGAGCAAGATGATTATGTTGATTGGAAGTAAAGTTGAAAAACAGATCACCAAATCATCATTATTATCATTAACATGATCCGAAAGGGAAAGTGACTCGGAAATGTTGGTATAAAAGGCTGAAGCCAGTTGCAAGGTGCGTGCTCCTCTCATCATCGGTCTAACATGAGAAGAAGAAGAAAAAAGAAGCAGAAAAAGGATGAAGAAGAGTTTAGCTAAATGTTTGTTATTAAGCAAACAATTGGGAGTAAAGCCTAAAGAAATTTGAATCCATTTGCATATCTTTTAAAATTATCTTCTCATCCTCATCCTGATCGTCTAAAGAGAAAAGTTGAAAAGAAAATATCGCAAAAGATGAAACTGAATGGTTAACATTGAAACTTGAAGTTTGATGAAAAGAGGTTCAGGCGAATGGGGTAAGACTGATGATAAGGAGGAGGTGAAGGTGGAACGATGACTCTTCTTGATTAATGATGAATGTGGGTTGACTCGTCAAATGATGAAAGTGATCTATCTTTTTGGCCTTTTGTTGTTCATCTGTTTCCATGTAACAAGATGAACAACAAGATGCGAGAAGAAAAAAAAACAGTTTCCACTTTTTTCCCTCTTCTTTTGAATCAAAAATTCACTTGGGTTTGCCCTTTACTCGAAAAATGATGAGAAATGGAGAGAAACCAAAATATGATAATAATGATTATGAAGATGAAATGATCAATGAAATGCTTGAAGCAAATGATGCAAAATGAGCAAATTGACTAACCTGGTGAAGAGAAAAAAATATCCAGGTAATGATAGGGAATTTTATTATTATTACCTTTTATTATCATTATTATCATCATTATCGTCATTATCGTTATCATTCATGTTTCTGTACTTTTTTCATTCTTTACTTTCAAACCATTTTCATTGATTATTGTTATTGCTGTTGAGCATAAAAAAAGGAAAATAATGAAAAGTAAAAGTTGAAAATTTTGATAACTTTTCTTTTCTCTTTTTTCCCCTTCCTTTGCCATTCCACGAACAGGGTTATTCGGTTGATTGTGCCTGAAGACATTTTTTTAATAAGACTCACAATGGAAGATGAAGATGACGAAGACAACTCTTTGTGCACAAAGAGGAAGATCATTATGCACATTGGATATTAGCTGCATTAGGAAAAGCAAATGATGAGAAAACCCTTTTTTCGCCATCTTCATCTTCTTCCTTTTAATACTTGATTGCCTTTGCTCCTCATCTTCTTGAAATATATTTTCTGTTAACTCTTCTTTTCCTTATTATCATCATCATATGAAAAAAAAGTTGAAAGATGCATTTGCGTATAAATAATGAATTAAAAATGAAGTATTTGATGAGAAGGAAAATGTTGAAACATAAATTTTCATCCAATTCTCATCACATCAACAATCAGTTTCCTCTTTAACATTGAAAACTACTTTTCTCTTTACAACATCTCATTATTTGCCATTTTCATTCCCAGCACTTCCATCAACCTCATTGGCAACATTTGAATAAATTAATAAGAAATTCACAGATTTTCATTATTATCCAAATTAAATGAGTTTAAACAATTCATTTCACCCTTTCCTCTTCATCTTCCCTCATCTCCTTCCTCTTCATTCAAACTCCACCTTCATGACTAATTTATAATGAAACTCTTTTTTCTCCTCTCCTTTATTATCATCTCATCAACATTTGAACATTGAGGGAAAAGGGTTCAATCAACAGTCTACAAAGGAACACAATTATCGTTAACATTTTACGCTCAATATTAATCAGTTTATAGTTCAACTGATTAACATTCAATTAAAGGGAAACACTCTTTGATTATCATAATAAATCAACTTTTTCACTTCTTTTCACATTCGACTCTTTTCAACATAATTTATGATCGAATGATGAAAATGTTTTAAACTTGTCAGAGTTATTATTATAATCGCAAGCGATAATAATATTAATAGTTACTGTCCAATGGGCAGTCTCAATGGTTTACTGGACAAAGTGAAATATTCAAATTCACTCCCAGTTATGATAATGTTATTATAATGGTTAGCATTAAGAAGAAATTGTTTCACTTGAAATTGGAAAATTTCTTTACTCTTTTCTTCATTACTTGGTCTCTCCCTTCAAATCACAATTTTATACCAAATTTAAATTGAACATTATGTTTTGAATTTCAGTTTTCATTATTATTCTTTTTCTAGTTTAGCCTTTATTTTTAGATAAAGAGTAAAGGGTAATTTATCAGTGAAACGGAAACGATGCAATTGTCAGGTTTAAGGTGAAATCTAATTGAGATTCAAGAAATCTTTGCAATCTTTTCCATCTTTACATAATGGAAGGGAATAAAATGAGAAAAAGGAAAAGTCACTGGAAGAGGAAAAGGCAAAACAATATGTAAATTGGAATCAAATTTTGTTCCAAATAAAAGAGTTTTCACATTGGAAAAGTAAAATTTAATGATCAAATTAAATTCCAATTTGGTTATGGAAATGAAATAATTTTAAAATTAATCAATTTTTAGCTTCAAAAGGCTGTCGACAACAGAACTTGCAAATTCAATATTTAAATATTTTCCTGTTTTGTTCCCCAAAAAGTTCCATTTTTTCGTCAGATAAAATTGATAAAGGATTCGAAATTCCAAGTTTTTCAATTTTCCCACAAAATCTCGAAAAATCTTCCACTTTTCGAATAATTAATGCCAAAAGTTTTCATGAAAAGTTTTTCTTTCGAACTGCCAATTCTCAGAAAATCATTAACTTCTTCGGAAAAGTTTCGTGAAACAACTTCATCTGCTCAAATTCAGTCAAAATTTTCTCTAATTTTTCTGGGAATTTCGTGCAAAATCATGATCGAAATGCTTTTTCTGTTTTTCAAAAATTCATGATCGCATCTTTTCCTCGATTTGATGATTTCTGAAAATCATTGATTCTTCGATAAATCTCCCAAAAGTTTTCTACTTCGAACTTTAACTCTTCGAATTGTCAATTTTTCAATCAAAATAAAAATCTTTAGCTTTCCGTTTTTGGATAGATTCATGATCAAAGTTTTCCCTTCAAACTGAAAATCATTAATTCTTCCAGTGAGTTCGCTTGAAACATTTCTCAGCAATATTCTTATTCAAAGTTTATCTGTTCGAATTTTCGATGGAAAGTTTCCTCCAAATTTCCGATTGACTTTTATTACTTTGAATCAATAAAATGGTTAACAAAGATCGACGATAAAAGGTAATGCCATCTGAATGA